GCTGCCTGGCTGGGTCTGTGCGGCCCCCAGGCCGTCCACGGAGGCTTCCACTTCAGGGGCTGCTGCCCGGCTGTGTCTGTGAGGCCCTCAGGCCGTCCACGGAGGCGTCCACTTCAGAGGCTGCTGCCCGGCTGGGTCTGTGCGGCCCTCAGGCCGTCCACGGAGGCGTCCACGTCAGGGCTGCGCTTCCGGGAGCTCTGTGCATTTTCTAGTCTGCCTGCTTTTTTCAGGTGTGGCATTTATGTATGTTTCTGATTCTTTCATGTTTTTAATAATTTAAAATATTCTCATCTTACAGTTTTGTCAAGTATTCAGTTACCTGACGTCCCCAGGTGCTTGCTGCTCGGAGCACCCCCTACACTTCTCGCACCTGGACTGCAAGCCTGTCTTCAGGGACCTTCACTCGCAGAGTCTTCACGGGGCAGGGGACATGGGCCTGCCCTGCAGGAGATGGCCGCTGGAGTCGGGAACAGCAGACCAGGACCCGGGCTCTTACCACGCACTTAGAACGTAGCCCCAGCAGCTCCAAGGTGTGGGGACAGACGCTTACTTCTCCTCCTCACACTTTGAAGGGAAGTCCCAGAGCCACCCGGGACCCTGGACGTCTCCCAGGCCCCAGCCTGCAAAGCGCGGTGTGGACAGCAGGCCCGGCCCCGGCCAGCAGGTCCAGCCCCACTCACCAGGCTCCAGCCTCTCATCAGATGTTGCTCAGGTGTCGCTCCCCACCCCCTCGCCCTGGACAGCTCCCCTCCCCCGGACAGACCCCCAGCAGGAAGCGGACAGGATGGGGCCTGCCTCCTGTGTCCCCCTACCCCAGGGACACCCCAGCAGGTCTCCCCTCATCCTGGAGAGGTGCCGCTTCCGTGTTTGCTGGCACCTGCATCTCCTCTGTCCCTGCAGCCCGCTGCCCTGGGGGCTGGGCTCACCCAGACCAGGGCCTGGCTCGAGGCGGCAGCAATGAGAATCCCCAGGGCCCCACACAAGTGCGAGAACCACCTCAAAGTCCCTCAGGAGATGAGGACGGCACAGCGCCCCGGTGCTCTCTCTGACAGTGGCTGCTTCTCCCCACATCTGCACTGAGACATCGCCACCCACTACCTCCTGCAAAACCGGCCCCCTGGCCAGGTTGTGGGGGCGCTGTGGGTGGACCAGATCCTCACTCCCCTCAAACGCTGTGAGAGGACGCTGGACACTGGACCGAGGGCTCCACTCACACATGCACACATACAGGCCCATGTGTGTGTTTTGTTTTTCGATTTCTAACTGAGCCAAAGAGTCATGGACCAGAGTAACTGAGCATGTCACCACCTTCACTTCTGCACCGAGTATCTGGCCAGCAAACAGCTGGCGGCTGTGGCTGCTGGTCCCCACGACCCCCTTGGGACACGCCCGGGGACTGCAGGGCGAGGGGGCGGCACGCCTGCCCCCGTGCTGGCAGGGGTGCCGGGTCTCATGTGCCCGAGTCCGAGTGCGAGCGCACTGGGGGCACCCTTCCTTCCCCACCCACTGAACACGCCCGATTTAGTTCAGCCTCGAAGAGACCTGCAAAGTGGTCAGCACCTGCCCAGAGGTCCACGGGGCCCTCGTCCAGACCACTGCTGGGAGGGGCTTGTGGGAACTTTCTAGTTAAAAGCAAACCACATACACACACACACACACACCTCGCAGCAAGGAGGCAGGGGAGCCAGACACCTGCGGAGGACGGAGCAGAGAGGCTCCGGGCCGGAGACGGGCTCACCGCTCCCTGTGGGCTGCTTGAGGCCCCCGCTACCACTTGTCCGGGGTTGAACTCAAGATGACAGCAAATAAACACCTGGTTTGGAATGAGTTGGAATCTTCCAGCTGCTACAACAGTTTACAGAGCCAGTTTGGGGAGGACTCAGCCCTGTAGGTGTCCGGCTGTCCTGTTCCCGTCCCAGGCCCACACCAGGCCCTAGCCACACCGACCCCCACATTCTCCGGGCGGCACCGCCCTCAGAGCACCCCAGGGTTTGATAACCTGCCTGTCGTGTAAGTGGAGACCGGAAACGGGGACCCACCTTCGTTCTGATTCAACAGGTGACAGGAGGCCTCTCCGAGCGCCAGGTTCTGAGCTGGATGCTCCACCAAAGGCCACAACACCACCGGACCGACCTGGCTTTCAGGACCGTCCAGCCCGGGCAGGCAGAGGTGAGCCCATGGCCACACAAACTGCGCTGCAGCCTGGACTCCTAAGCCCTGATCCGGCCCTAGGCCCTGAGCCGAGCTGCCCTGCTGTCCAGCCGGCCCTGACAGGCAGTGGGACCCGCCCCCGTGGGAGCGCCCAGGGCTCCACGCCTCGCGGCCACGGAAACAATGCAGCTGTGGCCGCGGCTGCGGCACAGAACGCCGGCCTGAGAAGTTTCTGATTAGAAATTACATTGCATTTCTGTTGAAATGGTAATCTGTATCTCTTTGAGATTTTTTCACAAATACGATAACCAATCTCACATGTATCTTAAACATTCTTCTTGATTACAAAGTGAAAACCAGCGCAGGGCGTGTATGGACAATGATAAAGCGGCCTGATCGTGTGTATCTGTCAGCAGCTGTCCCGGCCGCACAAATTCCTCTGTTACTGCAGAGCCACCGCGCTGATAAAGGAAAAGAGGCTGGAAAATCAATGCGCCTGAGCTGGAGCAGTTGCTAAACACACAGAAAACATCTCTATCCAACAGGCCGAGTGCTGTGAAAATTCCCGAGCCCTGCCCTGGGACAGCCGCGGAAAATTTAATCTCTCCAAATCCTCGCCAGGGCACTCCATCCTGCAGCCCTGACAGCCACACTTATAATTAATTATACAATTTCGATGGGAATATCGACTAAACAAAGCTATAAATCATAGAAAAAGTCAATAGTCATGGACACACTCAATCATGTCCCGGCCAATGATTACTACTCTTAAAACACAATAATTATTTTCAGAGCCAGCTCGAATTAAATTTCTGTCAGCCGGGAACAAGACCGGCGGTTGATCAAGGAAGCGATGGATTTGGGGCCGTGGCCGGTGCAGCACATCCATCCTGCGACGGGCAGTTTGCTCCCGGCCTCAGGGGCTCCTCGGGCCGCCTATCCCTCCCCGCCCCCCCCGCCCGGGGCGGCGACCCGCCTCCTGTCTGTGACCCACGCGGGGACGCACGCGCTGAGCAGCAGGACAGGCGCGGCACTGCTGGCCTAGCCCCGTCACGACAGGGGACTCCTGACACCGGTGGGGGTCCGCGGGCCTCTCCAAAAACCCACGCCAAACCTCCTCTCTGCGCACCTCCACTGCGCCTCTTCATCTTAGGGTCAGACTCAAAACCTCCTCCAAATATTCAGGCTAATTTTTCTCCACCTCAAAAAGAGACCCAACTTCATACAGAAAAGCTTCTTCTAATGGGGGCGACGCGCTCTCTGCCTCAGCAGGACGCACCCCCGCCTCCGCCGCACACCCTGCCGCAGACCCACGCTTCTCCCTTCCCACCAGGCCCCCGGCTCCTCCCGAGACATTCTGGCCCGGCTGCCCCGCACCACACTCCCCATGTCCACTCTTCTCCCGGGAGCCTTCGCTTTCCACTTGCCCAGGTGGCCACTCTGCCCCCGGCTTTGAGGGGCTGTCTTTGTGCTGGGAGCCCTCAAGGCCCACCCCCGCCTGGCCTTCTCCAAGCTCAGATGGCCACACAGCTGCCCAGGGAGGGGACAGCTCCCCAAGTCTCCTCCACTCGGGCACAGTGGGCACCCGCATCCCCACACCTGCCCCATGTGCTCCAGGCCCTGCTGATGTCACTGGGACGCTTCCCTCTTCAGGGCAGGCAGCAGCTGGACACGGCCCCCACCCCACGGAGCCTCCTGCTCAGCAGAACTGAGGCTGAGCCATCAGCATCTTGAGTGTGGGTGCTGCGGGAACACAGGAGGAGCCCACCTCACCGGGACCCAAGGCTGTCAAAGAGCAGAGAGACAATCTGGCCGAGGGGATGAGTGAGTGTCCGCAGGGCAGCAGGTGGGTGGAAGGGGCAGGAGGCTCAGGGCGTCCGCTGGGACAGCAGCGAGCCGGGTGCACTGAGAGGGAGGGTGGGGTGGGGCAGGGAGGGGGAGGGGAGCGTCGGAGCCCCGGTGGGGAGAGGGAGGTCGAGGGGCCCAGGCGTTTACCCGAGTGAGGTGGGAA